TTTTTTATATATAAAATAAATGTGGAAAAATGTATAAATAAGTAAATATATATATATATATATATATATATATATAATTGTCTAGAATAATAAAAGACCTCATATTGCAAAACAATCCTGTACAAGAAGAGTGGAGTTAGTGGCATCTCACTCCTTGACCTCAAAATATACTATAAAGCTGTGAAAATCAAAACAGCATGGTACTGGCACAAAAGCAGACAGGTCAACCAATGGGATAGAATAGAAACACACAAAATAAACCCCAAAACATATAGCCAACTGATTTTTTTTTTGGAGACGTTTTTGCTATAGGGCACGTGCACTCACCAGACAGACAGAGAGAGACATAGAGACAGAAAACTAGAAATCACCCCCCCAGGGGGGATGGTCATGCCGCAGTCCCTTCTCCTCCATTCTCCTCTTGGGATCTTGGGCACGCATGTACATGCGGCTGGCATGAGTTTTAAGCCACTGGGTCCAGGACACGAACCACGGTAGACTACGTGGGAGTCCAGTGACATAGCCATTACGCTAACCGCTGGTTCCCTAGCCAACTGATTTTTGACAAAGGATATCAAACAATCCAATGGGGAAAAGGAAAAATCTTTAGCAAATGGTGCTAGAATAACTGGATATTCACCTGATGAAACTGGATCTCCAGCTTTCACCATTAACAAAAATCAATTCAAAATGAATAAAAAATCTGAATCTAGGACCTCAAACTATAAAACTACTGGAAGAAAACACTGGGGAAACTGCAGGAGACATTAGGGTAGGCAAAGAATTCTTAAATAAGACTCCCAAAGCACAGGCAATAATCCCAAAAATAGGCAAGAGGGATTACATTAGATTAAGAAGTTTCTAAACTGCCAAGGACACAGTAATTAGTGTGAATTGATGACCTTCAGAATGTGAGAATATTTTTCTAAACCTTGCCTCAGATCATTGACTAATAACCAGAATACACAGGGAACTCAAATGGCTTATCTGAAAAAAAAAATGATTAACCCAATTAAAAGATGGGAAAATGAGCTGAACAAAAGTCTCTCTAAGGAAGACATACGAACAGCCAAAAAGCACATGAGGAAATGCTCAACATCCCTCATCATAAGGAAGATGCAGATTAAAACCACAATAAGATACACCTAACCCCTGTCAGAATGGCAAGGGTTAAAAACACAAATAATGAGAAATGTTGGTGAGATTGTGTGAAAGGGGAAGTCTCCTACACTGTTAGTGGGAATGTAAATTGGTCCAGCCACTGTGGAGAACAATATGGAGGTTCCTCAAAGACCTACAAATAGAAATACCATAAGATCCAGCAATACCAATGCTGGGTATCTACCCAAAGGACAGGAGAATGCTCAATCAGAAAAGCGCTTATGTATCAATGTTTATTGTGGCATTTACTACAATTGCTAAGACATGGAACCAACCCAAATGTCCATGAACAGATAAATGGATTGAAAAAGTGTGGCACATATACTCTATGGAATACTATTCAGCCATAAAAAAATAAGACTCTAGCATTTGATAGAAAGTGATCAAATATAGAAGATTTATTGCAATCTATGGTACAAATTAAAAGATTGCAGGGCATAAAAGTATTGAAAATAGTTGTGGACACTGGAGACTGTGTAGAAGGAGGGTGGGAGAAGGGAAGAGTACAGGGAAGGAAATCAGGGGAAAAACAATAGAGAGGCAAGATATTTTGGGGACACAGAAATGGTTTATTGCCTGTTGATGATAATGTGTATAGCATTCTCAACTGGACTGGTCTTAGATGTATTTCATGTTGTGTAAATTCTCTTTACAAGCTAAATGATGTATAGTGATCAAATGTTTGAAAATCAATCAATTAATTAATTAATTAAAGAGAAAACATTAGAAATCAGCCTTTCGAGATTATGATGCTAACTGCCATTCCGTTATAGTTTAAAAATTAGACTTAATAACTGAAATTTCCAACTTCAGAGTCTCTTCTTGCTATGGAAGCAGTTTCCAATGCAGTTTCTTATGAAGCAGCATCTACTAAAGTATTGGACCTATTTGATTCAATGTGAACTCCAGGTCCCCTCTAAAAAATTGGCCCCCTTTTCTTCTAACATATGCTCAGTAGCTCTCTACTTGCATCCACTTGTATCTTTCTCA